AACAACATATAGACAAGATGTTCGTACACTTATGTCTATCACAACAACATATAGACAAGATGTTCCTACACTTATGTTTATCACAACAACATATAGACAAGATGTTCGTACACTTATGTCTATCACAACAACAGATAGACAAGATGTTCGTACACTTATGTCTATCACAACAACATATAGACAAGATGTTCCTACACTTATGTCTTTCACAACAACATATAGACAAGATGTTCGTAGACTTCTGTCTATCACAACAACATATAGACAAGATGTTCATACACTTATGTCTATCACAACAACATATACACAAGATGTTCGTACACTTATATCTATCACAACAACATATAGACAAGATGTTCGTACACTTATGTCTATCACAACAACATATAGACAAGATGTCCATACACTTATGTCTATCACAACAACATACAGACAAGATGTTCGTACACTTATGTCTATCACAACAACATATAGACAAGATGTTCGTACACTTATGTCTATCACAACAACATATAGACAAGATGTTCCTACACCTATGTCTATCACAACAACATATAGACAGGATGTTCGTTCACCTATGTCTATCACAACAACATATAGACAAGATGTTCGTACACTTATGTCTATCACAACAACATATAGACAAGATGTCCGTACACTTATGTCTATCACAACACCATATAGACAAGATGTTCGTACACTTATGTCTATCACAACAACATATAGACAGGATGTTCGTACACCTATGTCTATCACAACAACATATAGACAAGATGTTCGTACACTTATGTCTATCACAACAACATATAGACAAGATGTTCCTACACTTATGTCTATCACAACAACATATAGACAGGATGTTCGTACACCTATGTCTATCACAAAAACATATAGACAAGATGTTCGTACACTTATGTCTATCACAACAACATATAGACAAGATGTTCCTACACCTATGTCTATCACAACAACATATAGACAAGATGTTCCTACAATTATGTCTATCACAACAACATATAGACAAGATCGATGTTCCTACACGTATGTCTCTCACAACTACACGTGTGTCTGTCACAACAACAAAAGCGACAAGACGTTCGTACCGGCACACATATGTATGTAACAACAACGGCAAAAAGACGAGTTGTTCCTGTACGTACACGTATAAATGTAACAACAATGACACAAGGGCCAAGATGTTCCTGTACGTACAGATATGTATGTAACAACAACGACACTTGAGCCAAGATGTTCCTGTACGTACATGTGTACACGTATGTATGTAACAACGACACAAGAGACAAGAAGTTCCTGTTCGTACACGTATGTATGTAACAACAGCGATACAAGAGCTGAGATGTTCCTGTTGGTACATGTGTACACGTCTGTATGTAACAACAACGACACAAGAGACAAGAAGTTCCTGTACGTACATGTGTACACGTATGTATGTAACAACATCGACACCAGAGGCAAGATGTTCCTGTTCGTACACGTATGTATGTAACAACAGCGATACAAGAGCTGAGATGTTCCTGTTGGTACATGTGTACACGTCTGTATGTAACAACAACGACACAAGAGACAAGACGTTCCTGTACGTACATGTGTACACGTATGTATGTAACAACATCGACACCAGAGGCAAGATGTTCCTGTACGTACATGTGTACACGTATGTATGTAAAAACGACACAAGAGACAAGAAGTTCCTGTACGTACACGTATGTATGTAACAACAGCGATACAAGAGCTGATATGTTCCTGTTGGTACATGTGTACACGTCTGTATGTAACAACAACGACACAAGAGACAAGAAGTTACTGTACGTACATGTGTACACGTATGTATGTAACAGCATCGACACAAGAGGCAAAATGTTCCTGCACGTACACGTATGTATGTAACAACAGCGATACAAGAGACAAGATGGTCCTGTACGTACACGTATGTATGTAACAACAACGACACAAGAGGCAAGATGGTCCTGTACGTACACGTATGTATGTAACAACAACGACACAAGAGACAAGATGTTCCTGTACGTACACGTATGTATGTAACAACAACGACACAAGAGACAAGATGTTCCTGTACGTACATGTGTACACGTATGTATGTAACAACAGCGATACAAGAGGCAAGATGTTCCTGTACGTACATGTGTACACGTCTGTATGTAACAACAACGACACAAGAGGCAAGATGTTCCTGTACGTACATGTGTACACGTCTGTATGTAACAACAACGACACAAGAGGCAAGATGTTCCTGTACGTACATGTGTACACGTCTGTATGTAACAACAACGACACAAGAGGCAAGATGTCCTGTACGTACATGTGTACACGTATGTATGTAACAACGACACAAGAGACAAGATGTTCCTGTACGTACATGTGAACACGTATGTATGTAACAACATCGACACAAGAGGCAAGATGTGCCTATACGTACACGTATGTATGTAACAACAACGACACATGAGCCAAGATGTTCCTGTACGTACACGTACGTATGTAACAACAACGGCAATGTGGGGAATCGTACCCGGGTCTTCGGCGTGACGAGCCAAAGCTTTAACCACTAGGCTACCAGACCGTCCTTGTTCATCCAGAAATATGCTATCGACTGGCGTCAATAAGAGCTGAGGTGAGGTGAAATGGGGTTTAACATTGCGTCCAAGTGCTGGCGCACTGAGATACCATGCCGCAGTTTAACATGAATCGTTAGCATAGTTTGAAGCCGTATTTAGCAATATTCTAGCAATATCACGGCGGGGGACACCAGAAATGGGCTTCACACATTGTACCCATGTCGGGAATCGAACCCGGGTCTTCGGCGTGACGAGCGGACGCTTAAACCACTAGGCTACCCGACCGCCCTTTTAACATGAATACCCCACTCAGACACAGTGTACTGACTCCGAGCCGAAAAGTCCTTGTTTTGGACACTTAATGCCGAGCGCCAGAGAGGCTAATTATATATAACAACAAGTACCATGTTTTAACGTATTTTGGTAAGACGCGGCCGGGGCTCTCCGTGCGGACGCTCAACCATAAGACCAGGGGGGCGGCCAGGCGTCAGTAAGAACGGGAAATAAACGTATACATACAGGTTTCTTCCATGGTGTATTCAGCGCTCCAGTTTGAAACCTCATCCAAATCGTTGGCCTGGCACGAATACCTGCCTCTGTAGTGCCATTCGTCCTGGAAAGCGCCGATGATGAGAGTAGAACCTGTATAATGGTATTTGTTTGTACTTTCGAGCAGGAGGCTGTTTCTCCTCCAAGGGTAAGACATTCTTTGACCATGATCCACTGACAGACTCCTTGATAGCGTTGGACACGGATCCACTTCTGTATATATGCGGGTCCTCTGGCTTACCTGTAATGGTTGAATATTATACATATGTTTCTGTTATGAAGGCAAAACATTTTGCTTGGATGGGTTGAAGAACTGGAAATAGAGAAAAACAACATTTATGGAGTCGTTTATGCCCAAAAGAAAGTGTTTCAGCAGATATTCGGGACGGATTACTTTCTGGCGTTCACTTTAAACTTTACACCTAAGGGACAACAAGAAATCCATAAACTGTTTTTGCCAAGTAACTAGGTTGTTGTGTGATGTGTAAACTAGAAACGCAGCTCTAACACAAAGAATCTCTCAAATAACCATACTATATTTGCCAACATTTTCACCAGTAACACACCCGTGAGCATCCGGGGAGGATTGGGCCTCAGCAGCCCATGCTTGTCACAAAAAGGCGACTGTGCTTGTCGTAAGAGGCGACTAACGGGATCGGGTGGTCAGGCTCGCTGACTTGGTTGATGCATGTCATTGTATCCAAAATTGTGTGGATCGATGCTCATGATGTCAATCACTGGATTGTCTGGTCCAGAATCGATTATTTAGACTGTCGTCATAAAGCTCGAATATTTTTTAGTGTGGCGGTAAACAACAAATAAACAAACAAACAAACTAGAAAAAAAGATTTTAGTGTATAAATCTGTACATAATGTGAACGAGTGAATCAGATTGCAGTGAACACATGTTCGAGACATGATGATTATGCTTAAACAGGTTCTGAGTGATTGAATTTGGTCTAAGGTGGCTCTTGAAAAGTATTTCAGTCATGTCCCGGCGCGTCCTCATAATGTGGAAGGAAAGCCCGAAGCAGGACTCATACATTTTCCGCTATCATAAGACAAAAGACAAAGTGTATGGTGGGGAGAAACCTCGAAACATAATCAGGGATTCGAACTCACGCACATTGGTTTCTGGTACGTTTAAGGGACGTTGTTCACCATGTAAAACTGCGGCGCCTTAGACACTTTGGCCACACATGTCCGTACATTATACCTACGTGCGAGAATCAGCATGTGGTGCCAGTCTGGAAGAATATGCCACTCTTTGTGGTATACCCTGCAGTCAAGCTTGCCGGCATCAGATGATGTAACGTTGTAAAGAGTAAACTGCACAATAAGAGAATGCGGTGTAGTAAGTATTGCCGCTGGTTGGACATCACTGTAAGAAAACATGAAGACGATTAGGAAAAATCAGAGACATTCAGTGGATATCTTCGAGTCGGGTGACCTATTCACAAGAAGGGGCGTTCCTCCACTGGCAAAGAAAAGAAAACGCACCAAATTCAAATGAATCAAAAAGATGAATGTCAAGACAAAAGCCTCTCGACAGGCTAAACCTAAGCTACAAAAGAAAAATACTGTCTCAGATGGAAGCTATAATCAAACGCGAAAAGGCAAGAGTAAAGGCTGAATGTAACAGGAAGAACCCAAACCACCACGGGAGAGATGGAGCCAACTCTGTAGTGCTCTGTTGTCGTAATACATCTTCAGTCACACATAGTGTGGGAACATGACTCTTTTGACACTGTTTTTCACATCAGCAAGCTGACGACATCAATGACTGTATGAAGGAGTGTGTATAAAATAAGTGTTGCAGCTGTTTCATGGGACAGATGACAATTCTTACTCATGATGAATGGGAGGGTATCTTGCAAGAAATGTGGCAAAACATTGTCCAGAAAGGATGCTCTGTTCAGACACAAGAGGCTTATTCACAGCAGGAAAGATGTGAATAGTCTACCCATAAGGCAGATAACACTATCAGAATCTCGTATGACATCATCTACACCGTCGCTGCCGCCGCCACCGCCACCATCGTCTTCATCCCTTCCAGAGTCATCGACCCTGGTACTTCAACAAAGGCCAACACTTCCGACACAAAAGCCAAGACTTCTATCGCCACCGCCGTCACTTGTAACACCATCACCACCTTTCACGTTCAACATTCCTCCCAATTCAGTGACAGTAGGTCCGTCCGCCTGTGGTAAGTCTATGTTTGTCTATAACATACTTCAGAGAGGACGGATCAATCCACGACCCAACAATACCATATGGTGTTACACTGTGTGGCAACCCCTTTACGATACCATTCTTAAAACTCTACCCTAAGTACAGTTTGTGAAAGGGATACCTTACAATCTCGAAGATGACGACTGCATTGATGCCAGTAACCAGAACATGATGGTGTTGGATGATTTTTTATCTGAGGCCAAGAATGACAAGCGGATTTCCTGACTGTTTACTCAAACCTCACACCACACAAATGTCATTATCTTCTTGTTATTGCATAACCTATTCCCGAGAGGCAAGGAATCACGTGACATTGCTTTGAATGCCCATTACGTGACACTTTTCAATTCACCCGTGGATAGACAGCAGGTAAAATGTTTTGGCAGAAGAATTTTTCCTGAAGACATCGGTAAATTTATGACTCTTTGTGAAAAAGGCTGTTGAAACGCCTTATGGACATTTGACAGTACATCTTAAACCTGACACGAGTGAGAAGAACAGATTGCATGCCAATATATTGACAACGGTCAATCATGACTCTGAGTGTGGTTCACATCAGCAAGAGTTAAAAGGGAGCTCTCCATCAACAGAGCAGCAAATGGTCCCAGAACTTCCATCCAAGCAGTACACACCAGAAGAAAGATCTTCTGTAGGAGAAACATCTTGTGATCTTGACGAGGAGACAGCATCCACTTCCAGTGAGGAATCGGGACCTTTTAACCATCGCCACTGCTTGCGCTGACTGTGGCATCTTGATAGAAAACATGCATGATTTACAGAAACATATCAAAACATGGTGCCCCGAAAACGAGTTTAAGCCTAAGAGAAAACGTGTACGATACGATAATGATGATAGTGACGAAGAGCTGCCCATGCAGAAAGGGGATGCTGATGTTAATACTAAATCAAAATGGCATGACCTCGAGGCCAACGAGTGGCAAAACGTGGGTTTACAGCGTATATGGAATAGGGTGTATGACAGGAGCCTACACAACATGAAGCTCAAGAAGAAAAACTACAGGCAACAAGGAAAATCGGAGGAATGGGTCGAAAGAAAACTACATACTGTGTGGAAAAATGATTTGGCAAACACGTTGAACTGTGTCATTGAGTTTACCCGCTATTTTGCAGAGGCACCCTTGTTCCAACCCATCCTAGACAGCTTGAAGGAGATGGATCCGAGCACTGAACAAACGGTCATCAAAGACAAGATCAAACGTTTCATGAAACCCATCATGAACGATATTCTGACTCGCGTAGACATGACTGAAGCAGACAGTGACATGGAATCTGATGCTTCTCAAGAGGAGGAGGAACTGAGTGAACAAGAATGATGAAAACCCCTCACTTCAAGTGTCACGCCTTTAGTTGACTTCTGTCAGTCTCAGCTATCACATATAAACCTCTATGACAATGCCGAGTTACAACAAGAAAACAAGACTTGTTCATATAGCGAAAACATATACCAACAAAATGCACACCACTGAACCGAAACAGCGTCATCCGACTGACACCAAAAGCTCAACACTAAAGAAACACCTCGTGTTGTATATGAGGAGTCCAGCCAAATATGGACCTCTAGGACGAAAATCCCTAGCCTTTCTGCATGATGGCACTTGCAATCTTTCTCATCAGACTATGCCATGTAACTATCCCCGTACTTTATCCACTTTATAAATCTGGAAATAAACACAGAATTGACATCTATGGGTTCTGTCATCATTGAAAGATAGTTATGTACAGTGAATCATTCATATGTGTTGGTTGATATGCCATTTGACACAGACACCAAGACACACACACAATACACAGACACACCACACCACACACACACACCACACCACACAAACACCACACACACACACACACACCACACACACACCACACACACCACACACACACACACACACACCACCACCACACCACACAAACACCACACCACACATATTCTATGGCATGTAGGTTTTCATTGATGAGCGTAGTAAACTTCGAGTACTTTCTTTTTCTTTTCATCGTCTTTTAGCCCATTGTTGATAGCCTAAATATGTAATTTTAAATTGTTCGTGGAGATCATTCAGGCAGTGTTCGTTTATTCGTTGTCCGTTCATTCATGGATCTGATTTGTGCACGGATGAAAGGTTTCAGACGTAACATCATTTTCCATTCGCCCTGAGTAAGCGTTATACCTTTTATTGTTGGTTTTTCATTCAGAAACTGTCTCACGTCAAGTACGGTGCGATTTTCGCTACGACAAACGACAGCTCGTGTTGAATAGGCTAAGACAAACTGTGTGTTCGAGCACTGTGAAGGAGCGTTGATCGACTGTAGACTGAGGGTTGGTTCAATAGGAGGGTCGTCAAAAAATAGTTCACTGTCTATTTGCTGCGACGTTTTATTTTTCCAATTCGAAATAGTAACCGCAGTAACGACAGTCAAAATGATGATTGCTAACATCAGTAAACCAACCAGAGTTCCGACTACAGCGTCCTCCGTGTGAAAGGGTCTGATACATATGCCTCTTCTACGTTCGTCAGCGACTCAACGATTAACCTCAGATCTCGCCAATAAATCTCGGGCGCAATTTCCATCGGGAGATGACATGTTGTACAATTTTCGTCCAGTTACAAAAAAACAGAGAGTAAATATGAATCTCAACGGAAGACGGTGAATATTGCTTCCACTCTAAGCCAAGAACCAAACTGGACTGATCGTTCACTTTTAAACATAGTTTTTTTCAATGTTCGACAGTCGCTGTAGTATGTTTACTTTACAACGAAACGATAAAGTCGATTCTACCTCGGCGATTGAATACGTACTTAACCACCCATCAGCAGTATAGCATGTGCGTTCGAGTGAACAAGCTGCTTTTTAATGAAACAGGAAATATAAAATAATCCAAAGTTGTGAAAGAAAACTATTGCTTCTACCTCCAAGCGCGAATCAGTGACTCGTGACTAAATAACGAGAGATGCTTGTGGACGTTTAAATATGGTATAATAGATATTGTCGATGATTCCCCGAGACGTCGTGGAAACTGTGCGCTAATGTGCTACATTCCGCCAGCTGTGGTGATGGTGTACTTAACATTTGAATCTAACATTGTTGTCGACACGGGTGACCCACATCGTCTCCCAACAGCGGCAGCCTAAATTCACACACGGTTTAGCAATGCCTGAGGTAATGTATCCATCTAGGTCAATCAGTACAACGCGTGTCCCGCCCATTCATACAGCCGGATGTCGTATGAGTTAACATTATTTTCAGAGTACATACTAACGTATCATATCTAAACAGGGTACTGGGTAACCATAAGGGGGGACGGTTATTGCTATAAGACCATTTACGGTGGTATATCACAGTGTAGGGTTGAGGTGGGTAAAAGTTCTTAAAGCCGTGTGGAATAAGGGATACATGCTACACGGAAGATATGTGTTTCGTGAATTTCAACAGGATTTTGAAAACACTATCGGTGAGATAACACTATTCTGAAACTGTTCATGTATCCTTAACAAGAACTTGTTATGTTTCATTTCAACCTAGCTTTTACACCATACTTACATTCATATATCATATGCTCGGTGAATTATATGTGATGTGAACCGGATATAATTTAAGAAGAACGTGTATTGTCGGATTTAGGGTTTAGATGGGAAACTTATATAAGTGGAGGAAATCTTTCAGAGTTGAAAATTAAGATTGAAAATAAGAATAAGACTGACTTTTTACAACGAAATATATCACGGCGTGAATAAAGTAGAGAAATATTTTATAAAACTATACTATTTTTTATTCATTTATTTTAGTGAACATGATTGATGGTATTGGTTTAATCAGATTTCTTTCATCCAAAAATGAAAGGTCCGTCAGTATTTTGTAAGACAAAAAAAATAAATATATTTCCTCGCAGTCTGTGATGATCAAATGGTGAGTCAACTCGTACATTCTCCTCTTCATCTCGATGATGACATTCTACTTATTCATTGAGTAGCTATATCAAGAGACCGAGGACTGTTTCATTCTTTCACGATAGGGTGACATTCCGTTTGATGACGATCATTCTAGTATACATCTGAAGGTATCTACCCCGACTACATTCCACATAGCTGGCATTCGTAAAGAATTCCAAATAGCTGGCATTCCGAAAGAATTCCTCAACCATGACATTTTTTAACAAAGGCCGCATTCTTCACATTCTTAACATGCATGCATAATGACGCCGTTCTCATTGTGACGTCATGCATGTCTATTAGCATAACAATAGGCTCATGAATATGCATAGGGCACCTTCCACGGAAGGTGCTGAAGGTATTACTTTTATACTACTAAGAGAGTCAGAGAGACAAACAGGGAAACATTTCCGTGTTGAATGAGAGTGAGTTTCAATTATAATATGGCGTGTCACCTGGGAGTAATGTACGATGTTATATGATGAGAGAGAGAGAGAGCGTGATGAACAGAGAGATAAGGAGGAATACTACTCACGGGTCATCCGGAAGTTTTTCTCCTCACTCAATACAGTCACCCTCATCTTGTCGACTGTAGCTTGACACGAGTATCTGACTCTCATCTCGCTCCCCCTCACGTCGCGGACAGCAAGTGTACTGACATGATAGTATTCCCAGTTGTACGATCTACCATCATATGACGTAATGTCATACTTCCCTCCACTTTCCACCGGCAAATTGTTCTTCCGCCAACTATGGGACGTGGTCAGGGAACCCTCGCCGCTCATGACTGTGAAGGAGTAGCAGGTAAGACTCCTTCTGTATTGAACAGTATCTGTTGCCACTATATACGGGCCCAAGACATCTGTGAACATATAGGAAGCAATAACATTGATAACAACAGTAAGGAGACGCAGTTATTCGATTTGATTGTTTGTTGTTAAACGCCACACTCAGCAGTATTCCAGCCATATGACGGAGGTCCGTAAAAAATCGAACCTAGACCTAGCAATCCAGTTATGGATATCATGAGCATCGATCTACGCAATTGGGATACGATGACATACATCAACAAAGTCAACGAGCCTGATCACCCGATCCCGTTAGTCCCTTCTTACGACAAGTATAGTCGCCTGTTACGGCAAACAAGGGTTAGCAGTAATATGAATAGCAACCGTGATGTTTATGTGATGGAGCTAGAGATATTTTAAGGAAATTCCAAAATTGAGAACTTCTTTGATAAGCATTTAGAAGTTGGAGTGCGAAGTAAGGATCGGATTTATGGATGAACAACTTCTTTATTACAATTAGGAGCGACGTTTTGGTGTAGGTTCTTACACCGTTATCAAGCAAGCGATCCAAGGTGAAGGACTTGGTCTTGCGATGGTGGCGTATCCGTTCTATGGCAAGGTGTTGCAAGGCTTTCTGGAGGATGGTGCGTGCTGCTGGTGAGTTGACCGGGCTCCTCAGCTGTAGGCCTTTAGGAACGAGTTTGTTGTCTCTGCATCGCATCAAGAACGTAAGGTGGTTGGATGAGTGGATGTACTTGTCCACATGGGTGTTGAGTCGGTTGATGGTTGAGATTGCCACGCCTCCATGAAGACGACGAATAACTTCTTTGAGGGGCATTTAGATGTTGGAGTACTAAGTAAGGATAAGATATATGGATGAATAGCTTCTTTATTACAATTAGGAGCTTGGATGAATGGATGTACTTATCCACAAGGTTGTTGAGTCGGTTGATTGTTGTGATTGCCACGTCTCCATGAAGATGACGAATAACTTCTTTGAGGGGCATTTAGATGTTTGAGTACTAAGTAAGGATAAGATATATGGATGAATAACTTCTTTGAGGGGCATTTAGATGTTTGAGTACTAAGTAAGGATAAGATATATGGATGAATAGCTTCTTTGAGGGGCATTTAGATGTTTGAGTACTAAGTAAGGATAAGATATATGGATGAATAACTTCTTTGAGGGGCATTTAGATGTTTGAGTACTAAGTAAGGATAAGATATATGGATGAACAACTTCTTTATTACAATTAGGAGCTTGGATGAGTGGATGTACTTGTCCACAATGCTGCTGAGTCGGTTGATGGTTGAGGTTGCCACGTCTCCATGAAGACGACAAATAACTTCTTTGATAGGCATTTAGAAGTGAGACCCTCGATAACAGTGTTAGAACCTACACCGAAACGTCGCTCCTAATTGTAATAAAGAAGTTGATCATCCATAAATCCTATCCTAACAAAATTGAGATGACTCGGCAGACCCTTGGTCAGTTCTATCTGGATTCACATTCGTAAATATCATTGTCAATGCAAGAGAATAATCAGTCCAGATTATCCGCCGAAACAAATTCCATTTGGCGTAAAGGACAAAATTTATTTGTTTATTATATGGATGGACCACTGAAAATCAGTGATGACACCAGGTGTTCGCAAAAAGGGTAGGTCCGGCCCTGCCTGTAGCACCGGTAAAACAACTGTGTCAGGAATACGATTTGGAGAAACTATGTAAAGTGGTGCAGTTTTAGTATGTCTTTCTCAAATATGCAAAATAATATCCATGTCGACCAACAGTGAGAACAACTTTTGTTTCATGAATCGTCTTACAAAATATGCACCCTTACTCAGTTACCTTGCACTTCGTTGCGTGTTGTAAGATGCGACTAAATTGGATTGTGTGGTCAGGCTCGGTGACATTGGGTTGATTTTGTATACTCATACCTCGACTTGGCTATGTTGGTTGTTTGTTGGTTGGTTGTTTAACGCCGCACTCCAGCAATATTCCAGCTATATGACGGAGGTCTGTAAATAATCGAGTATGGACCAGACAATACAGTGATTGACATCATGAGCATCGATCCACGTAATTGGGATCGATGACATGTATCAACCAAGTCAGACCAAGCCTGACCACCCGATCCCGTTAGTTGCCTTTTTACGACAAGCATAGTCGCCTTTTACGCCAAGCATTGGTTGCTGAAGACCTATTCTACCCCGGAATCTTCACTGGTCGTGCATTGTTGTGAGATACTTATTGTCTTAATAATTTATTTATTTATTTTTTAAAATGTGTGTTTGTGTGTTTTAATGAAATAAATCATGTGTAAACAGTTTAAATTTGTATCTGTTTTCATTTGAAAGGAATGATTGAGATGGTTATATCATGACTTGACATGGGTCAAGTTCCTCAATCAATCCTTGATGTTATGTAAAACAGATGAACTGGTACTGGTGAATCAAGGATATATATTACTTCCTCCCGAATAAGGTTGGGTTTAAGTCCCACAAAAGATTCCAAAACGCAATCTCCAAACTCATGTTTCATCTTTTCGAGTACCTTGGCATGGGTTTTTGAAAACAGAGGATTAGAAGGGTCAAAATTGCTAGTGTCAAACAAGTCCTGATGCTTTGCCATATCAGCATAAATATCTGGTGTTTCAATGAGGTAGCACAAGGAATCTGTGTCTGTGAAACAAAGCACTGCCTTCTCCTGGTACTTAGACTTAATGAAATAATAATTGAAATCATACATGACAATTTTTGACATGTCAAGAATAGAGAAACCAGCACACACTGGCTGTTTAAGATGCAGTGATTTGTTTTGTAATGTACAGCAGCCAAATCATCATTAACATTTTTAAAGGCGTCCAAGGTGGGTTTAGCACAGAGTTTTCCCAGACGTTTTGATTAATTGACTAGTTCTACATTCACATGTTTCCTTACATTCATCATTGAGCAGCAAAATACTGAGTTGTTCGACAAATAGCTTGTGGTTTATGTAGCTTGGAGAATCCTTATTCAGTAACGACTACGTGGCACATCAACCGCGTTTCAAATACCAGATACTGTTACTGCCTTAGGCGGTAGGGCAGTGAGTAAGTTTGATTTGCCGTCGCATTCAGCAATATTCCAACAAAATCACGGTAAACAGCCGTGTGTAATCAAAATTTGAAGCATATACATCGAAGTGTTCTGATTACTAATGCAATATATTTTGTGTATATGTACTTATTTCAGAAAAAAAACCATTTGACTATTAAGAGTAAGTGATTTAGTGAATGTTGTTTTATACATCCGTCAGCAACATCCCAACAACAACACCACCATATCCTGCACATGTTGGCGACATGTCGACGGATGACAGCAAGGGTGAGGTCAGGACACGATGACACACAACAAACCACTGTAACCGTCTTGATCTCAGTGGTCACTGGTACAACAAACATGAGGTCCTGGAACTTATTCAGCCCCGAAATACCGACACAGCCTTTCATTATGATAATATGATTCCAATATATCTTTGCATACATCATCCTACATGTAACATGTTTATGATTATTATCAAATGAAACATGTTAGCGTACAGTTTCCCCTGTCACGTCACAGCTGTTATTGTCCGTTCCTGTAGACCCAGCAAACGTAATGAGGACAAAAAGAGGAATACGTCCATGCTGTGATAAAACCAAAATGACCAAGTTGCATTAAGAAGCTGCATTATCCACGTATGTATTGATTATACAAAGACATCGAAATGCATGTCAATGTTGTCAGAATTGAAGCAATGTGTCTATAGTGGCTGCACAAATTATTCTGTGTCTTGAAAACTAGAGATAGGTTACTTGTAGATTGAACCTCGCTAAATTGAATTTGGAACCGAACAATTTGCGTGATATTTCAAATATTAGATTCAGCGAGGTAGCAGGTAGCCTAGCTCTACATTGAAAACACAGTATGTTTATCTCCATTCTACCGGACTCTGACGCGGGCAATTCCCTCACATGAGAATAATAAAAAAAACGTGTCCAATAGTCGGATCGGTTAGGGGTATTTTCGCCAGATGAATGGTCAGACTCTATAAATCTTCGTTTTGCACCAGGTGATGGGAAGCCATGTGAAAAGGAAAATGGTTCGGCACCCCTCTCCCACCCATGGATGTCAACAAGGACAGTTTTATGCTGCAGCGGATCTCCGTACAGAATTCGGAGGTCAGCATCCCCAGGTTGGCCCGCGAGTCACTTCTTGTCCTAGGGCTCTAAGAAAGTTTATAGCTTGATGCATATATAATAGACATTTAGAATACATTTATGTTACAATATCAAACGTTTGTGGGAAATAGAGTATGAACAGGGCATGGTATGACCAGCCGATTGATATAATCGTGCCCATTCTTCCACCGGTCTAGGCAAAGTTAGGCTCGAAGTGGTGCATTGGACTGAGAAACACCAATTGCCAGCCCGGCGCCCTCAGCCACCAGACTCCCTTCCTCCACCGACACAGGGACGCAACACACGACAAACAGGTTGACCAATTTCTCTTAGGATCAGCTAATGGGGTGCTGGGGACACATTTTACCCAGGGTCCCCACGGGGTCCATGCTATCATTGTCAATGGCAGATCCATCGTCCCTTTTGCAAAAGATTCGCAATGAATTTTATTCTTGAATACCTATGATCGTGGATTCCATCAAAGTAAAAAACATCTGCGTTCAGTGGGCTCGTACATGGGCACATGCAAAGTATGTGTATGATTTTTTACCAGTTTTCATATTCTAATAAACATAGAGATAACACCAACACCAAGCAAAATAAGTTTTATTACAAAAAAACAAAAACAAGTATATGCTACGACAACCAAGACGAATTTCAAAAGTTTCTCACCGTGGTCATTTTGCTAACATCCATTCATAATTGTGACATGCTTGTGACATGATTGACTACCGATCAGTTGGTGAATGTTCTTTCTCGTGTTAAAAGAGACTTCTGATCCTTGGTTATGCACAGTTCAACAATCGACATCACACATGACCAAGATAGATCGGGAAGTAGATAAAGTGAGAATACAGGTAACTGCATTTTTTAAAATACAATATGAATTATACCTCTTAGGTTTGTTTTCAGAACAATTGTTAAAGTTGCTATTATTTGCTGTCGAGGGAGTTTAGATTTTCCATACACAAATAATGTTAAAATGGATGAAGACGCTAATTTGTGTGAAGGAGTGTCCATGTATATGTATTCTTTTCTATTTACTCCAGCAATACAAAACGTGTACATCATGTGCAACTGTCACTCAACTAGGGCCTGCTGGGTTATCTATCACTTGATATGCGCAGTTAGGGGATGACGTCACAACAGGTTGTATATATGATAGTTGAACTACCTGGCAGTACGGTGGAGGGTCATCCTTCACGACTTCACTGTAAGCTGGAGGTGGAGTATTCATGTCATGTTGGGTAGTTGCCGTAGTTGGTGGGTAGTTGTAGACTGACACAGTGTAGACTGTGTTCAGGTTGGCTTCACGTGATCTGTTCCCTTGCGACTGGTCATTGGTTGTGGATTTTTTCATGGGACAAATTCCACAGCAGCAACACGTTACAAATGCCACGCCCACAATGCCGCCGAATACCCCTCCAATTATGCCTCCAACGTTCGGTGTAAAAGACGCTGTACAAAATAAACAACACGAAAAGGAACTTTAAAATATAGACGAATAACGCACTTATTAAGTTCATTGAATGTTATTGCTGCGAAGTTTCTGGACGCAGAAGATGAATAATAATTATATTCTCGTTCAAGGTGATTTTCTTTTATTATTGCTTGCCGTAAGAACGACTGTCACAGACATGTGTATTACATGACTTTATAAGTACTCTGGTAGAATGCGCGTTACATATTGTTTCACAACAGTTAAATTATTGAAAAAGTATTGTGGTGTCATAACTCTATTGCGTTCTGTTACAGCATGCCACGCATCTATACCTTCCGACAACGCCCTCATGATGTCAACTGTAACCTGTCTGTTACCAAGGTTCTGTAGATTGCTTGAGAAGTTAATGCTTAAAGAAGATCTAGATGTTCTCATGTTTTTCTTGCTGGTTCTCTTGCTGGGGAAACGTTTGCACAGAAGGTAATACAATGCACATATTTGTCATTGTATTACATTTATTGAGCCATTTATACCAGCTGGGTATAGGTGTCAACTGCCAATAGATATACTTCTTGGTGTATTAAAATTGGTCAAATACAATTACAATGAATCGACAATTGCACCCACTACAACAAGTGACACAATATTCAAAAACGATGAAACAGTGTATAACTGTTTAGATTAAGGCCGCTTTGTAACTATTTCAGACGTGTACAGGTGTGGCGTCTTGATGCAATGTGAAACGAATGAACACTGGTCTCGTAAACATAACAAGAGCGAATATGTGACAGTTTAGTCATCCTGGCCACCGTGCCCCGCCCCTCTACCTCCGTGGTTAACCCCTACCCTCAAGATATTCCTTAGTCGTCTAAAGAAATGGTATGTATAATGTTTAACCCCAAATGTTCTGCACAGATAACTTAGTATACTGTATGGTGCAAAATACGCTGCAGGTGTTAATCAACACGGATACAATGGAAAAGTACAATGACCGAGACGTGATTGTATACGTTATAGTAGGGGTGCATTTCATTCGTCCTGTCTTGATAGATTCGAAGTATTTTTAAATGAATTCATACGACTTAAAAACTTACCGGAAGATGTTGGCTCGCCGGCAGTGAAGGCCAACCTGAAACCTGTGAAATCGAAGGTGCTCGAAATATCGGAGTGGAATCGAACCTTCATACTCATCCCTGTACTCTGTGTATCTGGTCCATTCGATCCACACCATCGACCAAGCGAGTATTCATATGTTCCAGTGACTATTGCAAGAATAGAACATTATGTGATATTATGAAAATATTGTTATACTTACAACAAACCACATACATATGCCAGGACGTTAACTGCGTTAAGGCAGGCATTACTTTTAACATATATTTGGGAATTATATTAAGTTATTCCACATGAATTTTTATTTTTAGTGTAGAGTGGGAGTAAAAACCCAATGTGATTCTGGTTGATGCAATTTCCTACTTTGCAGTAGGATGCAGCTAAAACGAACAGGTATAACTCGGATTAACAGCGTTTCATTGCAATGATGAAATGGCACTTGCCTTACAAATACAGTCACACTCGTCGACATAGGGAATAACACACTGTCTCACTTTTACTCAATTCTAGGAAAACCCCAAATGGGTGAGAGTCATAGAGTCATTACCGTCATAGAGCTGCACATAATCATAGGAACACGGGCTGTCTCGCTCAAGGTAGAAATGTACCGCTTTAACATGGATTACATATCCTTTGACATCAGTGCTGATTGTCCATGAACAGTCTGCATTGCTAAAGTTAAAACAATACATTGGTATTGTAGCACAACAAAACGAATTATAGCATCATCTAAGTGTTGTTTATGATGCAACGCCACTGTTTTGAAAATTCGCAACAGGATTACATAAACTCCGACACAATCTACATAGAAGTTTCTGGTGTTTCTGTTGACTTTCTTAAAGATTTCTACATTCAATGATCAAATACTATACTCTTGTTCGAGGTGAGTTTATTCATTTTGGTACGTTCTGCCACAATCCTATTTATATCTTGATTCAGAAAATTTATTAATTGATGTTTTTAGGTTTTGTTTGTTGACCATGTGTTACATTGTCGAACTCATAGGTTCAAGAACGACTTAAATCTGTTGGGATAACCAAAGGAAGATATGGTTAATTCAATACCCGGTGTCTCTCTGCTGAATACAATATTATGAATGGCGAAAATGATTTTCATGGGGCTTTAGGTGAGAAGTCTCCATGCATAATACTATGTTATAAGTCAATACACATATGGTAAAAATGCAATTGATATGCATGAAAAGGCGGGTCAAGTTTAATGGTTTCTCCAAAGTTTTGCTGTTTACGATGACCCAAATTGGTTTGTTTTATTTGCGAATGGAGTGTCAGTGCTTATTGGTGCTATACTGATTTCCTGGTACGGTTAATACCATGTCGTCATTAACTTGAGCCCTTCCCAAGTCGCTCTCGAACACTAAATACCTATATACATAAGCAATAACAGAACAAGCGTCGAATAATCATGATTGTCAATCTCTACTCATGAAACGAATCATAGCAATGTGTTTTGTGAATGTTGGGACATATGGATAATTCATTCGGTAAAAACAGTGGAACAAGACAATCATCATTGCGTTAATTCATGTGGGTTAATAATAAAACATATTTCACATATCTTGGTGAACTCATCTCGTTTGTTATTTGTTATAATGTTTGCAGGTATTCAGTTAAGGTCAACAATCAGTTTATTTCTATTTCCGACAGTATAATATATTATTATTAATGTTTGCTACAACCCTATTTCGTGCAGCTAATGTAAAACGCTATCAATATTGATGATCTTTCTGCACATACAAATTACCAAACTTACAATCTGAGCTATTAAGATTATATGATAGCCACGACCTAAATTGCAAAGAACAAGGAAGGACAAACGTGGTTTATTTCACATTCATTTCTCGTTGTGCAGGCATGTTTGTTTGTTTGTTCGTTGTTTAAAGCCGCACTCAGCAATATTCCAGCTATATTCTGAAAATAATCGAGTCTCGTCCTGTGATTAACATTTTGAGCATAGATCAACGCAATTGGGGTGCGATGACAAGCATCAACCAAGTCAGCGAGTCTGTCGCCTTTTACGGCAAGCATGTGTTGCTGAAGACCTATTCTATCCTGACAGGGTAGGATCCAGACATGGGTCTACCTTTACTGTATATCCATCAGTTGCTATGAAACATGCTTAACTTCAACCAAAGAACGGAAATATTCAGTAGTCGTTTGTTTGTGTGAGAAATATGTCTGATGAAATGGTAAGCTGTGCAATCTATACAAAAGACACCATCTGAGCTACTAACTCAGCTGTGTGTTTCCGACGATAAGCCTTCAATTAGCTTTACTTTGTGTTGCTTTACACGTAAAATACTTGAATTATATTGTTCAGTGACGTTTGGATTCATTTCCATGTAGACTACAGATTCGTATCGCATGTTTAAAATTGTAGTAAATGATAACAACGGTGCTGAGATAAATTCGTACTTGTCCTATAGGTCGGGGAATTTTGATGTACCTCTTTGAGGCCGTGATAATCATAGAACGTGTAGTGCATACTCACTTGGGATAATGCAGAGGGTAATTGGGTGAATCAATATATTTCGTTTCATATTCGTTCATCTCTTCGTCTGTGCCACAACCTGAAACGTTGAATAGTTACACAGCATTGGATGGATTCATGAGTAGAGTTTAGATTGTGTGATGATGAGGATGTCCTCGGAGGAACGGTACTGTTCACATTGAGAGGCACAATACAGAAGGTGAGGTGAGGGGAAATTGGGGACACAGTATACTGACTCCGAGCCGACCAGTCCTTGTTTGAGCCCCTTAATGCCGAGCGCCAGACAGGGTAACAACAAGTACCATATTTTAACGTCTTTTGGTTTGACGCGGACGGGGATCGGGCGGTCGCTCTACTACTAGACCACGGAGGCGGTCAACAACAAAGAAGGGGTGTGGTAATGACCTTCCATACCTGTTAAATTGCTAGTATTACCGCTTACGTTAAACAAATATGAAATACCTTCATCAAACGTTATCGACGTGGTGAAATGTGTTGACAAGAAAGATAAAGAGTTTTGTTCTTTTCAATAATACCATGTTGAAAAAAACATTCATGACATTAACTTTATCTGGCATTTTAACAGAGCAACAATGCGTTTTGTTGTACCACCTTCCTTGAATTTATTATTATAAATGATCTGGCAGTTTTAATGCTAGGACATATAGATAACTCATGCGGTTAACCAGTGGAACAAGATAATCGTCTAATATCAGAGACATAAAGTACCTGACATCCGGGCCATGTATATCAAAGAAAATCCTCTTCCTGTCACAGAGCCGTCAGTGTGGAAGGTGATAGTCATGGCGTTACTGGAGCTGACCACGTCCCTGGTGCCATTACAGTATTTACCCAGCTTAGTGCCGTAAGACGAGGAGCCTTGAATATATACATTGAATAACCAATGTCGTCGAGGCATACACGTTAAGATACTAGAATTGAAGTCAAGTTGAGGTTAATAAATTAATTATTGAGCATATTTTTGCAAACTAAATCAACAAAAATAGCAATATGACTTTATTCATTAAAGCACTTTCATAAAATTGAACATTGTTCTTACCGTCACTGAAGAGGAGATAGTCTCTTGCACAGGTGGCTTCATATTCCAAAGAAAGAACTTTAATGTCGGCTTTTATTTTATATCCAGCAGGTGCAGAAATTGTCCACTTGTAGTCCATACAAAGAATGATGTGGTGTACTCTTTAAACGTAAGCACAGATGAGATTCAAAAGCAATCAACATATGATGTTGATAATTGTATGTTACCTTGACATCTTGAAACCATGAATATGACTAGAGCAAAATATAAAACCAACATAACGTTTCTCCCTAGGGAAGGTAAAGAATTACATTCCTTTCTCGTAAGGATGTTCCCAATTATTCAATAGCTGCAAGATAGTCTTTAAGCGAAAACGAGACAGCCCTAAACCTGATTTAAAGTCTGGATTATCCGAAGGCATCAATGACTAGGGAAGAGGTAGAATGCTAGGGTAGAGGTTCAAACTATGCAGAATCTCTGTCCCAATATGAAATGTTCAAACAGTGTACAATATGTCATGTAGTCTCTCAACAATAATTCATCATCATTTCAAGGTGTCTGTTGTGGATTGCACTTACAATCTAAGTGTGCAGTGACTGGATGCAGTCAAGTCAGGTGATGATCAGGGATGCACATCCTGGATCCTGAATCAACACACGTGCCTATGCAATGGGAACACCCTCCACGCTCAAACATCAACTGACAAGGGCATCTATTTTCTGGGATGCACTACGTATCTCCTGAAACTATCATCACGAATGCCAAATTGAATATTTGACAGAATTGAGGCAAGCAAGAAAACTAATTTCCTCAGGGTTATGTTGCTTTGGTCAAGCACCTATCTATTGTTGGAAGTCAAGAAGTTCCGACGGTCAGATGCTTTGTATATTCTGGAAGTCAAGTGTTTCCTTTTTACTCCCAGGCACCTTTTTCTATAAGACTTAATGTTATTTTGTTAGTCATCATAGCTAGTATATGGTTGGATATTTAGCGAGCTTGCATAATCTTTCAGATTCAGCACACAAGAAATAATTAACATTATGTAAATATATACAGAGAATTCAAGGAACAAAGACATTACATGGACATTAACATCGTTGTGAAGGGATGAATTTCGCCAGTGTTTAGTGCTGTTGTTGGGAACTTCTGATAATATTGTGGTATGTAAAGAGAACTATTTAGAGCAAAGAATTCACATTTAAATAAATAATCATATTCATCAGCTACTACAGGTCTATCTTCTCTAGTGAGGTTTTTACATCTAAAAGGTTTAATATACTTATATAGATTGCCTAGGTATGATATCGCATCGCCTTCCTTGAAGAAGCTGCTTTTTTCAACACGGTTCATGAGCCACTTATTAGTCGTTGCTGAATAAAGATTATCCATCATGTTATATAAACCACAAGAGTTAATATATTAGTTATACATTATTTCCATTACTTCTTGTATCATGATAAACATCATTAGAACCTGAGTGTAAGCACTTCTGATTACCTGTTCCTGTTTTATGCCAGAAGTTTATAATTCTCATTTTCCAAATTCGCCATGAATCAAGAAGATTTGGGCACTGTTCATATAAGTCTTGTCTTTTGACACAAGTTATAATTTCTCAATGAGTTCGAAATTTTCATTTCCCCACATTTCGCAGCCATGTAGGAGAATGGGTGTTACCAAAACATTGAAGGCTAAAAACAAACAGTTGAGTGGAAGATTTACATTTCTTGTTTTTTTTAGTTAGGAAAACATCGCTTTTGAACCATTTTCTGACAAACCTTTGATTGCACTTTATAGACGCCGGTTCCTATGAAGCTTAATCCGCAGTAATTGAAATCACTGATCGCTTGAAATTCATTTTCCCCGCATACAAATTATTTGAAGCCATGATCATAGGATCCAGGCATGTTTTTTAGGTCGCAACTCTGCACAGCAAATTGCAACGACAAAAACTTTTGAGTTATGAGCTCGACCCCTCGTGGTAAGAATGGTAGTTGTATGTATTGGTCACCTTATAGCACGAAGGTTTCATTATATTAACCTGCCATTTATCAATAAGTGGCATCAACCAAAGATGTCTATATGTACTAACTTGTTGTAGTTGGGGAAGCCCGGAGACGACAAATGTCTCCAGGTGGACGTAGAGGCGTTGAGCAAAGAACGTCCACACTTAAGCCCATTCACACCTTTATAAATGAGAAAGAAGCAACAGTGAAAGGGTAATTGTTAAATCCTTTCAAGGAGTGAGTATGGTTTTACGCCGCTCTTAGCAATATTCCAGCAATATCAACTAACCTTTTGTTCATCTAAATTCACATATACAACTAGTCAGTAAAGATCATGCACTAAATACATTTAATTTTTATTCAAGATCAATCAACTCCGAGGGCCCAGTTAGACCCACGACATCTGAATAATTTAGAAACGTAAAATGGTTTACTCATGTATCACAATGTGTTTTTTGTTGTTCCGCAGCAAGCATTGTAGACGTAAGGCCAAATTGTGTGATTTTCTCAGCATGTCTTGTAGCAGTGACCAAGTAAATAATCTATATCTTTACCATCAATTCCAGCCCAAAGCACCATTTAAAATGGCCAACCCCCAAACAGTCCCAACCACACACACACCCCATCCCCCAACACACTGTAGTCATGAATACAGCTACACATGGTAGGTTCACTGTGTTATTATCCCTTTTTGGTTTCCTGTTTAGGCTACACAAAGCGAAAGCCTAAAACGTATGCATATAAAACAAGAAATATACGGGGATTTTATCAGAGACAGTAATTGATTCAACATTGCTTCAGTCATTTGGTTAGAGGGCGAAAATCAGTTTCCTTTTTCACTCATATTTTTCTCAGGACATCCAACATATCCACCATTGTTTTGTAAACTTTGACAGGAACCAAAGTATATTTATGTGTGTTTGGAACCCTTTTAATCAATTTTAAAAAAAAGGTTGTGAATTTGTGTTTTATGAAGCGTTACTTTTATGTTAAAGAGGAAGCATTGAAACAACAATATAGTTAAGTACCTGACGTCCTCGCCATGTATTTTAAAGAAAATCCTCTGTCCGTTCTAGAGCCGTCAGTGTGGAAGGTGATGGTCATGGCGTAACTGGAGCTGACCACGTTCCTGGGGCCATCACAGTATTTACCCAACTGAGTAGCGAAAGACGATGAGCCTTGAATAAATGTATTGATTCACACATGTCGCCGATTTAAAGACATGCACGTTAACATACTGTATTGAAGTCAACTTGAGGCTAATGATACTAATAACTGAGCATATTACTTGCAAACCAATTCAACACAAAGCGCAATATGAGGATATTTAAGCACTTTTATAACAGTGAACATTGTGCTTACCGTCACTGAAGAGGAGATAGTCGAATGCACAGGTGGCTCCATATTCCACAGAAAGCACTATAATTTCAACTTTTATTTTATATCCATCAGGTGCAGAAATTTTCCACTTGCAGTCCATGTTGCTACAAAGAAATATGTAGTGTAATCTTTAAACGTACAAATCAGATCAAACGCATCAACATATAATAGTCAATAGAACAAGAAACGAAAAGCTTGACAGCAATATAAGTCTGGGATTTTTGGAGTGGTTCAAATTATGCAGGATCTTTGTCCCAACAGGAATAACATGTCATGGTAGTGTCTCAACAATAATTCATCATCATTTCAGGATGTCTGCTGGATGGCACCTTTAATTCTTAGTGTGCAATGACCGGATGCAGTCAAGATTATTGCACTTATACAGCGACGTGCATCCACCATGTGTGGCTGCCTGTACTTGTCCTGACGAATACCAATTTTAGAGTGCTAGGCCACTGAGATTCCATGCCGCAGTTTAACACGAATACCCTCAGACACAGTATACTGACTGCGAACATAGACAACCACACTTAAATCTTTGCATGTGAATTAACACAAATGTAGGCCATTTCCTAGGCAGCCGTCAGAATGAATATATTTTCTTTATTTACATATATCACTCAAATTATATTCGTTATTATTGACGCTTTTGTCAGCTTGATTAGCTCGCGATAATGGTAAGTTTAGTTGCATAAGTACATCATCTGGGTTAAATTTAGTTTATTCCCGATATGCTCATCCAAAATGCAATTGTCAAATAGGCTACTGGTTCGGGTATTAAAATCACCTATGAAAATGAAGTTTTCGGAAATTAAAAACACTTCACTAAGTGAACTCTCTAATTCGAAAAACATTTCTTTGGAAGTATTCTGGGGGCAAATAGAAAACACCAAGGTCAATATCATCATCAACACAAAACATCTCTTTTCCAATCCGAAACCAAACAATATAGTCACTGCTATTAAAGAGGGAGAACAATTTGTGGAAGTAGTTTTTCACGGCCAACCCAATACCACCTTATCTTCGGTGAGGACTTTGCCGCAAATGAAGGTCAGTTAAAGGTAGCCATCAAGCGTTATGTACAAGCGCTGCTTAATCTCAATGCAGTATTCTCCAATCTAACGTCCTTCGGTGAGGTGCTCTTAAACACTACAGGATATCATCGATGTGTGCAGTTCAGTTGTGATGTATTATGGTCATGTGTTATGTTAGGCCTTCCGGCCTTAGGATATAGGATATAGATTTGTATGATGTGCATCTAAGACTTAAACCACAAGGTAACGCCCACGGGCACGAAAATGATGCAGACAAGTCAAGGATAATAGTCAGGGAGAATCTATGATTTGAAACCACCATCATAGGATCCAGGCTTGTATGTTTAGGTCCGCAACTTTGTACAGCAAATTACAACGGGGAAAACACATGGTTGGAAAGGTAGTTGAATGTATTGGTCACCTTATGGCACGAATGTGTCATCATATTAACATGACATTTTTTCAAAAAGGGGCATCAACCAAAGATGTATAGATGTACTAACTTGTTATAGCTGGGGTAGCCAGGAGACGACAAATATCTCCAGGTGGACGTAGAGGCGCTGAGCAAAGAACTGCCACAATTAAGCCCATTTGATATTTCTATAGAAACAAAAAAAAACAATTGTTATTATTTTTTTTAATGTTATAAAGCGGTAGAACATATTTCAGTTGAAAAAATAAATTAAACTGTTGTTCATCTAAATTCACATTTATAACTAGTTAGCAAACATCATGCAAAAATACTTTTCAATTTCCTAACGACATCTGCATAGTTTAGAAACGAGAAAAGGTTTATTTTTTGTCACTAAATGTATCGTAACATTTATACAAATATAAATTATATATTGTTTTGCAAACACCCATTGTAGACGTAACACTATACTGTGTCCCACGTGATTCAAGTGTGTCTAGAAGCAGTGGCCAAGTGAATAATCTAATTCTACCATCAATACCAGCCCAAAGCACCATTCAATATAACCAACCCCACATCCCTTACACCATGACCCCGATTATTTAATAGCCGGCCGTCAACACACACTCATTGTACCTGTAGTAGTTGTTAAGAAAGTTCCGGCTTTGTATTTCAGATTAAATCCTAGTGCTGTGTCAGAGTCGTCGGTGTGGAAGGTAATGGTCATGTAGTTTCTGGAACTGACGACTACCCTGGTGATGTAACTACGACCACAATATTTTCCCAACTGAGCACCGAAAGACGTGGACCCTTGAATAAATATGTAAATATATTTATTCGCTCATTACATCGGTTTAGAGACATACACTTATATGTGTACATCTTAGTAATCGAATCATTATGGTTATTATTAGTTATTTATCAGAAATCAATACAAACCTAACGTTGAATAAATATATTCTGTGGCAATCATCTCTCATGAGTACTTATTACACTAATAATTACGAATCCTTGTATCTGAAACCAGCTGAGGGGCTTAAGTTGTCCATAGGCTTGCTCATGTCGTTTGGTTTGTGGCATAAGCGTAAATTAAGTGAACTTGAATTATATCGGATTCGAGGTGTAATTTGGACTGATAATACAGATATTGATCAGAATTTGTTAAACACCAATACAGCACCAACACAGTTATGATTATATATACTTGAAATATATATTTAATAAAATTATGTACATGGTTCTTACCATCACTGAAGCGAAGGTAGTCACTTGAACAAGCTGTCGAGTATTCCACATTAAAATACACAACTTCGACTTTAATTTCATATCCAACGGGTGCAGAAATTGTCCATTGGCAGTTCAGGTTGCTGCAAATACAGCTTGCTACATACAGCTTTATATACATACATACAAATACACACACACACATATATATATTATCCTAGCTTACAATTAACATTCTACTTACAATTTATGTGTGGATTGCTACTTCCCTATCACGTGTGCAGTGCTACGTTCACGTCGCGTGTGTAGTGCTACTTACTTGTCACATGTGCAGTGGTACCTTCACGTTGCATGTGTGGTGCTACTTATTTGTCACAAGTGCAGTGGTACCTTCCGGTCACGTGTGTAGTGCTATCTTCACGTCACGTGTGTAATTCTACTTACTTGTCACATGTGTAGTGCTACCTTCACGTCACGTGTGTGGTGCTACTTATTTGCCACATGTGTAGTGCTACCTTCAAGTTACGTGTGTAGTGCTACTTATTTGCCACATGTGTAGTGCTACCTTCACGTCACGTGTGTGGTGCTACTCATTTGCCAAATGTGTAGTGCTACCTTCAAGTTACATGTATGGTGCTACGTACTTGTCACATGTGTAGTGCTACCTTCATGTCACGTGTGTAGTGCTACCTTCAAGTCACGTGTGTGGTACTACTTATTTGCCACATGTGTAGTGCTACCTTCACGTCACGTGTGTGGTGCTACTTATTTGCCACATGTGTAGTGCTACCTTCACGTCACGTGTGTGGTGCTACTTATGTGCCACATGTGTAGTGCTACCTTCATGTCACACGTATGGTGCCATTTGCCACCGTTCCAGTGTTTTTTGTCAATTGAGTAGAGCTACTAACTGAGTGTAGGTACCTACTTGGAATAGTTTGAAGGATAGCCAGGAAAAGTCAAGTTCGTCCATGCAACAGAAGAGGCGGACAGATCTGATAATCCACAAGAGTGACCTTCAGTTAACATAAAGGAAAACAAAATGTAATAGCGAGCATATTTATAATAATTCACAATTAATCAAAACGACAAATTGACGATTTGTGATAACAACTACAAGGATTGCAACTGAGGGGATTAACGTCGTTTGTCGTAAAAATCCCACTGGGGTTTGTGAAGTCTGTTTACGCAAACACAGATGAGATCGTGCCTGTTATTGTCAAGGATGTTCAATCTGATACCTGACAAGCTGTAAGCTGTGAGTTACTCAGTGGTGGGTACACTGTTAAATAAGGAACAAGTCTCTCACAGAACGGGTCTTTTCGGTCATCAAGGAAAATATATTTTTCAAAGTAAGACAAGAACAAGAATTTGACGACAATGACACACCAACATGTTGACTTTTGTAAAACATCAAAAATATTTGCACGACATATTACCAGATGAGAACTGCAAGCGAATACCGGAAATTTACTGTCTGAATGAAACATGATGGTCATATGGTTACCGGAGCTACAAACAAGGTCATTGTTTTACTCACCGTCTGTTTCATAATATCTTATTTGGAAACCGGCTCTGGTTACACTCGAACTGTTCATCAGTCTCGAACACTGCATGAATATGTTGGTCTTCACGGGTAATAAGATTTAATCTGCTTTGTGCACAAATTCTTTTTGACTCGACTATTTTTTTATCACCTAGGGTGGAAGAAATGTAATTGTCAGTAATCAGTTATTTCTCGATACAAACATTAATGTATTTTAGTATGCTTGGACATAGCTTAAATAGGATTGCAAATTAACAAAACGTGGAATGTAAAAATCAAAGTTTAGCGAATATCAATGAGCTGCCTTCCTAAATATCCTACAGACATCATGAAACAAGAAGGTGTTAATGTTGTACTTTGACGGAGTAACTAAATTAAGAAAACATAAGCAGAAAACGATTGATAAAAAAACCTATTGCAATGGCATGTAATAACCAATAGGCGATTGACTTTTCAAAGCATCCTTAACCCATCCACATATAATCAAACGATTCTTATTGCTTTTATTCTTGAATATAGTTACTTATAACAATAATAAATTATTTCTGAGACATTATTTTTATCATCACTCTAGTTCAAGAACAATGAAGGATTTTAATAAGAGACTGATCATGATTCTTCCTTACCGTCAAGTAAGTAACACTGGTTCCTTTGATAATGGAGTATGTGTTATTTAAGAAAGCAGTGAAAAACGGTCAAGGTAAATTAATAATACTCTTTCAGATATATAGTTGAAAGTTGTATATAAAACCATTCAAACGGAGATCAGATGTGCTGTACCGTACAGAATTGGAACAACGTTTTCTTCATAGTTGCGTGCCTCTACATGTCGACAGTTAGCAGTGCATGGAATTATTTCGCAAGTTTTCTGATGTGTGATTAAAAATATCCGTTGTAATTGATCTGCTTTCTCTGAGATTATAGGGGCATACTTCACATCATACTGATAAGATATTTGCTGCATGCAAATGGAAACAAAATACACATTCTGTCAGATACATGTTGTTTGAAATGTCACCCATGTACAATGAAGCTTTAAGACATGTTTAGGAGTCAACTGAACAAGCGATTTTGTCAATGTGATAATCCCGTAACAGGCGAGCCATATACCAACAAACGATCAGTCATACTTTTGTCTTAACATTATGCTTGACTGTCTTGGAGCCTGGTGTAATAACAAACAAAATAGTTGTAGTCAAAGAACATACATTTTAGACAGCAATCAGTCTTGAAGAAAAACTGCGCATTTTACAAAATTTTAATACTTGAAAGTAACTTCTATTTAGGGGCATTGTTAATACAATATCTGGACCATACACATATGGCAAAGCAACTGCTAGCTCAGCTAGCAGAGCGCTTGGTTTACTGATCTCTAACTATTAAATATATGGTTGTGTGCAATACCGTACATTTACAACGTTACATGACCCGATGTGTGGTCGGTTTTAGAATATGGATCTTGTATTTGGGGAATGTAATATGCCGTGTATTAATGCTGTACAGAATAGTGCAGTGAGTTTTTATCTGGTTGTGAAATGTATGCCCCAAACTTAGCTGTAAGCGGTGACATGGCATGGGCCCCACCAGTAGTACGCCATTGGGGAAGTGTGGTTCGACAATAGAAACGTCTTTGCAATATAAACCAAGGTCGTAGCGCTCGTAAAATATGTCTATGGAGTAATCTCAGGGCAACCAGAATAAAGAAAAACCTTTACTTCCGCACCCATTGTAAATTAGTAGATCTGGACATTTTTTTCCCCAGACAATTGTTTTAGATCAGGTTTTATTGTTAAACGTTTGGTTTTTAATTCACATAAAATTTTATGGAAAAAATGCCATTTCACACCATGTTGGTCCATCGCGCACGGGAGGTTATAAACTTAGATTATACCTATTGCTTAAAGCATGACTATACTGCTGATGAGTATGTCATCCGCCCTATGCCCCGTGCCCACAGAAGCGCTTTGGCTGAATTTTAATGTGCCACCGCGCCTACCCAAATTGAATCAGGTCGGTATATTAACATGCCGTTAGAAGACAGGTAGTGCTTTCAGTGTCTTGACGTTTTTGAAAATGAATGCAATGTCATTTTAAATTGTCCTGTGTATAATGTTGAGCGACGTAGTCTCTTAAACAAGTGTGATGTACAGAAAATAGCCTATATTTTGTCAGATAATATTATTTATCATATAATGGGTAGGTTTCTCGGCAGGATAAAGCCAACGGATAAAAACGATATCCGTTGGGGTCATATGCGGATAGAGATGCAAATATCAAAGGTCAAGTAGGGACTACTTTCACTGTTTATAAACAAACATGGCGTCGCCCTCGTCACTCGGCGATCGAGTCGGAACTAACCATCGGGAATCTGGATAAACTACAGATATAATTGCTATCATTATCAAAAGAACAGTCTAATATACTGAAAATCTGTGTCTAACTGTGACGTAGCTAAGGCATTTTATAAGTTTTGGCAACTTTGGAGAAACAATTTTGCGAGGGCACGAGGCCTAGCCAACCGGGATCAGTGGCCATATCTGTGCTTGTAGACCTCTGCGGCTTGAAACCTTCTCCACAAATTAAAATAATTGGATTTGGCCGAAATATGTTTGAATTGTTACCTTGTTTCGTTTTGTCGCTGTGTGTACATCTGACTACACTTCTTAACGTTATGACAGGACAGACCGACTGTCAACAACGTCTGACCGTGGCCGTGACGTCTCAAAGACTAGGTTTAGAGTAGCTTCCCTTTGACAAAGGGCAGTTACTCTAGCGGACAGACCGATGGATTGCCGCGAAAGGCAATCAAAAACAATTGTTGTTTTGCGTATATGTTGCTTCGCCACTGTTTAAGAAACAGATTTCAGTTGGAACTATATTGGCGACTGTCACTGTCCGACTGACACATCACTTACCCTGTGACGTAATAAATATTAATGCGCGCATTCCAGGAAAACTCGCAATGTTTCGGTAATGTTTATGAGAGAGGGAAAGCGATTGGGAAGCACAGAATTAAAGAATGACATTATATG